GGTGGCAGCCACTTCCAGAGCCACATACCCTCCGGGTGCTGCTGTGCAGCCACCCGCACAGCACCACTGCAGATGGTTGCAGTGGGCTGTGAGGCTGGCTTCCAGCATGTCCCGATGGGGAAATGTGCCGCTTGGCACATGGCCTGGCTCCCAAGAGATGCAGAGGAGTCTGGCCGCTCCGGGGAGCCACTCCCCACTGCTGCGGCACATGGCACTCAGTGCACCATGCCTGCCACCAACACCCCCCCACAGCAGGACAAGGCAGGAGCAAGATGCAGCTGAGCACCAGCACTGCCAAGAAGCCACCTGATGCTCATCCACACAGCCAGCAGCTGACCTCACTCCCATGCCCCAAAAGGGAGCTCCTGCCCAGGCATGAGGGTCTTTCAGTGCTGGATCCCCCCGCCCCTCCAGGCAGGGTGAGGCTGGCAGGGAGTGGGGAGCACACACTGCACTGCCACCAAGCTCCCCTTCCCTCTTCCCCCACAGGGAGGGAGCTCCAAGAGCAGCCACAGGAGAGGGGACCCAGGTGTTTTGCATCCAGTGGCAGCCAGCACACGCTGCGCGTCTCGGCTCCATGCGCTCCGTCTCCCTCGTGCCTGGCACTCTGCCTCCCTGAAGGAAGTCATTAACAGCCAGGCCCCTGCTCAAGACAAACATCTCTGAAGCAGGGGCAACACTGATCTCCCCTGTTCCCATTCCTGCAAGCCAGGCAGCTGAGCACAGCTGGTAACTGAGAAGGCAGAGGACAAGCCAAGCTCAACAGCACCTGGATTCCACAGATTGCTGCAATCTTTATCAGTCTGCCTTGGAAGGGAGAGCCTGCTCATGTGCTGCACCAATCCGCCTTCCATACCCTGCATCATCCCTGCAGGACAAGGTGACATCTCCACCAGGGCCACTCCTTAGCCATGCTTGGAAGTGGGACCTTCTCCCTCTGTTGTGACCCAGGTCCCCCTGTCTCCCACCTGGCTGCAGCTCCCACACCTGGCTCCTGTAATTCCTGTCCTCCAGGATCCAGAAGGGCAGACACCCATGGTCTCAAAGGCCACGCAGTTCAGACAGGGCCCTCCAGGGAGGGCTCCTGCCCCCACGTGTAGGGCAGGGCATGAACCCAGGGAAGGTTTGCAAGCCAAAGCCTTCCATCCTGGCTGGCATTCGCTCCCTTCGCAGCCCCAGGCTGGAGCAGAGCAGCCATGGGTTGGGCACGCCTGCTTAACCTGCCTCTGCCCAAGCCGCTCACAGAAAGGCCACACACTCCAAAGTGCTAACGCCGGCTTCTCGACGATTGCTTGAGTGGGCACAGGCAGTAGGGGCAGCTGCCTCACCTGCCCTCCCCTTGCCAGCACTAGCACAAGGCAAGGCAGGCCAGGGAAACAAGCCACCGCCCCAACTGGTTCGGCACAGCAACAGAAACGCTTGTGCTGGCACAAACCAGAAGGACAGACAAAGCTCCCCCTTGGCTCCTCCTTTAGTCCGTTCAGCAGCCAGGAGCTTCCGTGGATTTACAGTAGGTGCCTTGGAATGGGCAGATCTCTGGCAGGGGCTGGCAAGAGCCTCCTTTCCCTCGGGTCACTCCCTCCTGCCTCTGTCTTACACCCAGGAGCTTAAGCAGCCTATGCTCAGCCTTACCCATCCACCTGCCCCTGCCGCCTCTGCACTGGGGCACTCAGGAGATGTGCATCCATCCTAGCCTGCTCAAACAGCCCCCTCCTCACCTCTGGTACCTAGGCTCAGCCCCTCGCTCCATTCCTACCCTCTGAGCCCTCCTCCAGCACATCCCCACGCCCCGCTTGACAGCCAGGGCAGTGAACAGGCCAAGAGGCTTAAGCAGACAGGAGTAGTGTTTGTGCAAGAGGCACAACTGGCACAAGACACCAGTCTACAGGAGTCACAGCCACAGGCACGGAACATCCTGGGACGCCTGGCAGGGCAGTTGCAGGACCACCAGGACCCTGCTCTGGCTGCCCAGGGGCAGCTGCAGCCTGGCAGGGCAGTTGCTCAGCAGCCAGGCTGGCAGAGCCACCGATCACCCGCAGACAAACAAGGTGGGGAGAAGCTGCTGCCACCAAACAGGCTGAGCAGCTTCTCCCGCCCTGCCCTGCACGAGGGCTGTGCTGCAGGAAGGCTCCTGGGGCTGCTGCAGGGCTGAGACTCGCTCACCCCAGCCCTGGGCTCAGCACCACTCCCTGGGGCTGCTCTCAGCTCGGCAAGAGCACGGTCACCAAGCTGCTGCTGCTACCTCTCGCACAGGGCTGTGCTGCACACCCCCCATCCAGCACGGTTCCCAGCAGGATAAGCCAGGCTGGGGCGCAGATGAGCCTGCCATCCCATGAGCAGAATGGGTGGCACAGAGAGGGAAGGGCCTGGAGCTACATCCATCTGCCCAGTGGAACTCCTTGCTGCAGGACGACCGGCTCAATTAGCACCGAGTTTTAACCACCAATTAAGCAGACAATTAGGAGCGGATGCAAGTTTTCTCCTGCATGAGCCGTGTGTGACTCAGCTCACGGTATTGTCTCTGAGATCCTCCTTCCTCCAAAGAGGGTAAAGTTAAAGGCACCCCATAATATTCCCTGCCACGTACCTGAGCCGCCGCCGAGGATCAGATGGGGTCCCTGCCCGCCTGGCTGTGCCATAGTCAGACATAAGCCCATAGTCCACATCTTCAAAGCCCACGCTGCGCTGGTCATCCTCCAGGCCATACGGCTCAGGGTGGAAGTGGTTGAGGTCCATGTTGCTGCCCCCAACACGCACTTGGGGCTGGGGGCCATAGATGTCCTGACGGCTGGGGGCCCGGTAGGTGTCCATGGAGGGGCGGTAGCGCTCGTCAATGCGGGTGACACGGGACAGGCTGCCGTAGCTGTGATCACTGCCTGGGTAGCCATCCTCATAGGGACGGCCATAGCCATCAGAGTAGTGGTAGTTACGAGGGAGGGTGGCTGTGCCTGGCTGGCTAAGGTAGCCGCCGGGGCCCCCATTGCCATTCTTGCGGAAGTTCCTGTCCATGGTCTGGACGTAGTTGCTGGTGATGGGGGAGGTTTCCAGAGGTAGCCCATCAGGCCCCACCGGCACCTGCTGCACCGTCCGGGTGGTCACAGTCTTCACCACTTTCTTCACCTAGAGGGACGGATGCAGGACACACTCCCATGAGGAAACCTACCACATGCCTATGCCCCCCGACTCCCCTTCCAACCCAGCACCTTAGTCCAGGCAGATTTCACACCCTGTTTCAGCTCACAGCACAGCAAGCTGGCAGACATCATGGCTGTTGCACCCCAGCCATCAGGCTCCCTGGCCAGAGCCCTGTCCCTCCATGCTCTCCCCAGGCCTGTACCGTGGTCTCTGTACGCCGGGTGGTCCCATCATCTGATGTCTCCACAGACACGACTGACATGGCCCCTTCTGGGTCCTCCTCCATGGTGTACGTTTCCTCCACAATCTGGCCTGGGTCCTGCATCCTGGGGATTGTGCTGTACAAGAGGTGGCTGTGGTCCTGAGGGGAGGAAGGGACAGGCAGTCAGCTGCCCACTGCCAGCATGGGCCTCCCTGGAGTCAGCCAGCCAAGAGATCTGGCCTACTGGGGAGTCCCAATAGCCTCTTGCAGGGAGTACCAACAACCCCACAGCCAAAGTCCCCCCTTTCCCAGCTAGGGTGGGGACACTGGAGCCCTGCCGCCCCCAGCAAGCAGGCTGCCCACAGCCAGGGAGGGCTCAGCACCCCTTACCTGCGGCCCGTTGAGCTTCAGATCTGGGTACTTCTGCCTTTCCAGGTCAGCATCGCCCAAGAAACGGCCGTTCTGAAATGCACAGCACCCCTGTCACTGGCCTGATCTCCCACTGCTGGGGTCCCATACGTCCACCCCTCCCTTCCCCGCCAGCCCCAAGTAGGCCATCTCCTGTGTCAGACAGATGCCCAATGCACACCCCACACTTTACCCCAGCAGAGGAGCACACACCTCGGGGGTCTGCACAATGCGCAGCAAACCGCCCCCTGTTCCAGCCTGGGGAAGAGCTGGAGGACACACCATTCCACTCCCTTCCAGGCACCCCAGCCCTCCCTCAGTGCCACACACTCCTGGCAGAATGGCCAAGACCCTTCCTCACTCCCCAGCACGGCCCTGGAGACCTTCCACATCTTCTGACACATGAGCCACAAGAGATGTCCCGGAGGCCCCCCACGATTGTGGGGAGCAGCGCAGATGCTCAGCAGCTGATTGCTGAGCACTACCATTCGACTCTTACGCTCCTCCTCTGCCTACCCCTTCCTTCCCCCTGACCCACAAGTCTCTTCAAGCACATTCCACAGCCAGAAAGGCGCCTGCCTTTCCACCTGCTGGAAAGGCACACCACCATGCACCAGCCCTCCAAGAACCCCTCCCCAAAACAGAACCTGGGAAAGCAAGAACAGGAGAGAAACCTCAAGCCAAGGCAGGTGAAACCACATTTCCAGCCCTGTAGAGAAAAAGCATCTCTCCCAGCCCTGGTTTGGCTGCTTGGGGGATAGCCTGAGACCCCAGGGACTTGCCCACAGTCACATGAGAAGAGGACGCAGGCGCTTCCCCACAGCGATGCACCAACCCCTGCATTTCAGCCACCTTCCAAGCGGCTGAGCAGGATGGGGAGCAGAGATGCCCAGGTACTGAATACAGACAGCCTCCACAACCAAACCAGAGCTGACCTGGTAGCAAGACCCTCCAGGCTGGCTCCTTCTCCCCAGAAGGCTCTGGCTGCCGAGGTATGTTTGCACATCCCCAGGGCACCTTCAGCCCCAGCGCATACCCTGCATTTCAGCCACCTTCCAAGCGGCTGAGCAGGATGGGGAGCAGAGATGCCCAGGTACTGAATACAGACAGCCTCCACAACCAAACCAGAGCTGACCTGGTAGCAAGACCCTCCAGGCTGGCTCCTTCTCCCCAGAAGGCTCTGGCTGCCGAGGTATGTTTGCACATCCCCAGGGCACCTTCAGCCCCAGCGCATACACAAAACCATCAGCATTACAAGACCAGACCAGCCCTCCTCCATCTCACATACCGGAGGAGGGCACAGGGAGCCAGGCCCGGGGCCGCCCCCACCGATGCAGGACTGACACAGACGGGGGGGTCCGGGAGCCTCCACACCCG